AAGTGATGCACCAAATGCCAAGTCATTCAAAAAACCTGTAAATTATTGATTGCTTTTGATTTATTTTTCTTTGACACTGATTTTTCTTCTTTAACAGCTTTGTTTTGAATGCTTTTTTTTTTAATTCTTTTGTTTTTGCATTCTTAGTTTCATTTTTTAATTTTTCACAATAACAACACGGCCTTGTAGAATAGCACCCTCTGGGTGATACAAACTTCTGCCATAAAATAAAGTTTTAATAATAATAATAATAATAATAATAATAATAATAAATATCTATGTTTCGTATATAAATTTAAAGCATTTTATCAATCCCATTATAACATAAATTGATCAATGAAATTATATAATTTTATTTTATCCTTGATGCTTTTGGCAAAGCCATTTATGAGAAAAATACATTTTCCAAGCCCTTCTCTGGCTATCATTAAAAAATAAATTCACCAAACATTGAATCTTTATATTTAAGATAATTGTTTGAAATTAAAATACCAGTATACTTTCCCAATAAACTGATAAACTGTTTTAAAGAGCTAGTGATATTCTAATGTTTCTTAAGCTAATTAGCATAATTAATTAGCTGTTAATGGGTGAGTGATGATGTAATGAGGTAGACATTTTTGTTTTTTATTAATACACTGACTTCCATCTACAGGCACTCATAATGCCTAATATTTTTATTTTAGTTGCTCTATATTTGGACTTTGTTGTACTGTATGCGTGTTTGTCCTTTGGTTGGGTCGTACTTTTATAATATAGTAATAAATGAATATAATAATAATTGTAATAATTAAATAATAATGACAATAGCAATTACAATGAATATTAAGAATGATTTCCTGTTTAACATACTATTTTATTTAATTTCTCCTCAATTCAGTTCTGTGAACTGCCATGAAAAAAGCTTATTGAATAAAGATACCTTGATATATATAGTTTTAGGCCCTCATAAACAAAATTATTAGTTTATCACCCTATCTAGACTGGAAAAGTGATAAGGAGGGAGGGTTTTTATTTTTTATTTTGCTTGTAGCCAAATATCACCCTTGGGTTGTTTGCTGGTACATTGGTATTGAAAGTAAAACATGATTTGAGAAAATACAAATAATATCTACCAACAATTTACTTTAAAAAAATTATAATTTTTTTCCTCCCAAAAATAAAATAATTTTTTTTTTCAATACCATAGAAGACATGTGCACTAGGGTGATAAAATAATTTTTTCTTTAGTCTTATGTCTATATATTCAAGTTTCAGAATTGTACTAAATGTGATAAATTGGTTGTTTTGTAATTTCTTTAGGGTTTTTATGTGTTTGTTAATAGATCAGAGAATAATACATTTATTGAGCCAATTAGAGTTGTGTAAAACTAGCTGCGAGTGAATATTTCATACTATATTTCTTACTCTCAAATTCTGTTTCACTTTTATTTATTATTATTAATATTATATTAATATTATTATAAAGTTTATTAATCTGTGATCCCATTGTTGTTATTATTTATTGTTATAATTACTATTTATTATTTTAATGAATCCATGATAGTTTTGTAAATACTGGCCTTGATTTTGGTATGTGTGGCATTTGTCTATTTATTCGCTTTGGATTGATTTGTATCTGCATTCAGCTGTTATTATAACACTCGTGTGTGAATCGTTTTCTTCTAAATGTCTAACTACCTCATTAGCAATTCACTTGTGAATAATAGATAAACACATATCATACACGTATAGTGTGAAGAAGGCGTGAATTTATGTAACCAACGGTAACTCGACCGTAGCAATCTTTGCTTCAAATAATATCGTGCCATATCATGTAAAATTTATGGAATATAAAATATCTAGAATATATATTAGGAATATGATCAGATATGTGTATTGTACACTTGTCTTCAGGTTTATATGCATGCTTGTAGTATAAATAGTTGATGAGGGTAAAGGTGCCATTTTGGGACACTGTTGCCATTTAAAGAGAATTTAAACTTGTAAAGGGAATAGACATTTTGAGGTCTATCAATTGTTTTTCCTGTAACTGGCACAAACCAACTTTTTTTTTACCAAATACTAATATTCTTTTAAGCGTTCTTTCATTCAATGCATGTAATGTTAAACAAATAATATGCAATGAAATAAAATAGTTTAATTTAAACAAATTATAAAAAACAATGTTTAGCAATATAATTACACTAAATATAATATAGAATATTTATTAAAATGAAAGCAATTTATATATAACCAGAAATATTTTTTTCTAGGTACTATTATATATATATAAATATCTGTCTCTTATACACATCCTAGTCAAGGGTTTAGGCAGAAAAACGAAATAGGCCGTCCAAAATGGAAGCCAGTGGGTGTGGCATTGAACCAATGAGCAGGCCACGTCCATCTTTGGGAATTCCTACAACGAACATACAATCAATATGTTGCTTTTATCAAACGTAAATATGATTTAGCTTTAGTTTAATGTAACATTCAATAGATTTGAGAAATATAAAGAATTTGCTAAAGGAGACCAGGCCCAATTACTGTAGGCTAGGCCGAGCTGATTAGGCCAAGGCGTCCAAGCCGTCTCGGTAAAAGTAATCGTAGGCCATCCAAAAGACGGCCGGACGGCTCGCTGGCTAAGCCTATGATTCTAGTTGTCTTGAATTTAGTGTACAACATGATAGTACAGTGTCATGGTTTGCATGTTTTTTCAGTCTGTGTGAACTTTAGTATGTCGTGGCATGTACTGTATCATGTCCCAGTCTAGATTCATATGCTGAACTATAGTTTGTTGACCCTCGGTATAAGCCTATGCCCATGGTGCCATTGCATGGACCATGTCCTGCTTGTACGAAGCTTTTTACTATGACTTGAACCATGTCCTAGTCTAGGTCTATGCATTAATCCATAGTCTATATTTTATTGATTCGTGGTTGGACCATGTCCAAAATCTATAGTACGGTGTCATGGATTGGACCATGTCCAGTCTGTGTAACCGTAGTATATTACTGAAGTATCACTGCATACTGTACTGTGTGCAGTCTATTTAACTGGAATTTAGATATTGATTAATCTGTACAACAATACAAGTCTTTTAATCCTATTAAAGGGTTTGATTACAAAATATAAAATTGACAGTATGATGATGATGACGATAATAATAATAATAATAATAATAATAATAATAATTTTATTATTATTATTATTATTATTATTATTATTATTATTATTATTATTATTGTTATTATTTATTCTTATGTTATTATTTATTATTATTATTACTATTGTTATTATTATTGATTTGTTCATGTCTAAGTTGTGCAGTTCCATGACTTAGTGGTGATGATTCGCTGTTGGTCTGATGAAATGAAATAAATAAATAAATTTGCACAAAGCGTAAATATTTGTATATTTATTTATTTATTTCAACAATATTTTACTCCATGTCCCATTCTATGAAACCACACTATCCTGCTTTGAACCCATGGGTTCCATGAATTGAACTATTCGGTCTATTTAGTATTAAGTGCTCTCTGTAACCAGAGCATAACCATCCGTAGCTTAATACCTCTAACCAGAACACAGTGCCATGAAATGAGCCATGTCCCAGTCTGTACAGCCAAATATAGTGATGGGAATTTTTGACCAGAGTTGCAATCTTATTTTAAGTGAAAGTACAGTATATTGTAGCTTATAGCATACTACTGAGCTGGAGTACCACTGAGGTATGACTTCCCTATTGAAGCTGAAGACTGATGGTTTATTATTGCCTTTTCTTATAAGTTATAGTGGAATAACAAAGAGGGCCCTGCTATCTTTGGGTCCTTTATACCCAGAGAACCATGATGTAGACCCAAGTGTTGTATGGGCAACGTTTTAAGGCATATTTAATATTGTTGTACACATTCTTCTTATTAAGCTTCCCTGTTTTGGGGCCCATGGTCCTAGCAAAAAAATACTGATAATTAATATCCGGGAAGGGGAGGGGAGGGGATGAGGGTGGGGCTACGATCCAGAGCCCTGGGTTTAGTCAGTGAGAGTTTATAGCTGTAATGCCACTGCTTTTGTTTTAAAGGTCTAATATTCTGTTCAAGGGCAGCAAATATTTAGAATATCAATGATGAAGTTCCACAGTTTAAACCTTATGTAGTAGACTCTTTGTACATTGCCATAAGCCATGTCTTTTCTTGCAGCGTCTCTTTCTAGAAAGAAATTATATTTCTGGAAGTTTTTATTTTTGTTGTTTTTGATGAAAGTTTTCACTATCCTCACCAAAAATAAATTTTTTAATTAATTGCCAAATAGCATAATTATTGCTATTGCCTTCCAACTTTTGATGTACTTTGCCAAAATTAACAAACCAGTAATTTATTGCCATTCTTGCAGTCATGCCAACATATTTTTTTTCTACATATATATATATATATATATAATTTAAATTGACCTAAAAGAAATTATTTTGATATAAAAATGACTCTGTTAAAGTTTTAAAAATTTTTCTAGATAAGCAAGATAAGTTCTAAAAATATTATAGATACATTGATGAATGAAGTAAGTTTGTAACACTACGAATGAGTGACCAAATACTAAACTATTTTTGATGAGAAAGATAATCATTATTTGAATAAGGAGGAGTTTGGTGATTTGGTAACTGTACACATGAGGAAGCTCAATCAGAGATATAATCATTTTTTTTTTTGTTGGTGATGAGCAAAGAACTAAAATTAAAATTGGTTACAGCATGGTTGGAGAACTACCTTGGACCGATTCACTAAACCCAATTCTGGGTAAAATAATTGACAAATGCTTTAACAAACTTTATTTCTTGTTCATTTGGCCGAAAGAAAGCCTCTGATAGACAGCCATCAAACCATTAGGTTATCAAAATATTGCATTTCACACTTCACCGATAACCCTGTATATATAGTTCACCTCTTATTAGAATGAAATGGTCCTAGGTAACATGTGCATTTATGTGTGTCCGATCCAACTTGCTTTGCACTTGGCTCCCTTTCATATGGTTGATAGCTACACAGTTTTATCTGAGTTCACACTACGGAGTACCACCAGTCTCAGTAAACTTAAACATTTTTGGATATATACTGTTCATGGAATTATAAATATCGCTTGATTTCTTAAACCTCACTCGGATCATAATCAGGAAACATACACTTGGAATATATTATTGGGGTTTTTTTTCCCTTGGAGTTTAATATATCTGAGTACATAACATTTCAGTTCCAGAATTTGAATATATTTTTCATAAGAAATGTCTGTAGTTGTTACAGATGCGTGTGTTTCTTTCACGCAATCTGTACACACGTGAAGGCGTCACGCATATTATTTACTGATACTAGATGTGTATTTTTGATTTGTTATCATTAGCATTGTTGATCTTGCCGTGGTGACACTATGAATGTCAAATATAAGTTGAATGGGAGGAGCATGTTTACTTTGTTCGTGCTTCTTTTCTCCACATGTTGCCTTATTTTCTCTGTGATTGTATTGGTGAAGTGTAAGTCTTGTTTTTTAACATTACCGTACAGTTTATGGATAGACTAGTTGGAAAATTTCATAACGTGTGTAGACATGATTTTCCCCTCAATATATACTCTGTGTGAACTTTGGACTTTGCTGTACACTGTTTCTTACATCATTGATAGACAATGGCTTTTTCCATTGAGAATCAAAGTTGTGTTTTTAACAAGTTCAACTTTCATCCTCCCACATAATTTTTCTATTTTAATAAAACCAATTTTATATATTTTTTTTTTCAACATATTATATAATGCCTTACATAATTACCATAGTTTACTGTAATCCATAGTAAATTAATTTTGTTAATGGTCTAATAATAATATAGTTTATTCATTGGGTCTTAATTTGCAGTATTCATATTGATTTCCTTTTATAGTTAATGCAATTTATTATGTTCTATAGTTTTAATATTTATTCCTTTTTCCCAATTTAGGTACAGTAGTAGTAGATATTAGTAGAACCACTCCCTCCCCCATAAGTAATACATTTTTTTTTACTGTTTTATATATCTTGATATAGAACACATATTTTGAATATCTATATTTTATTCTAAATAAAATATTTCTTCCTTTGGAGTATGTTAATTATTACAGATCAAAGATTTATCCATACTAATATAGTCTTACTATAGTATGGATAAATCTGTACTTAACCGTCTTTATTGAAACCAATATGAAACATCATATATCCCCAATGGAGGGTCTCCTCAATAGCAAGTAACAGTATCTTCAGCTATTTAAACCATGTTTTATTGAAAAAGGGTGCTGATATAAAGAAGCAGGTTTATCCCATTTCTAAATTTTTACAATGAACTCTCGGGAGACTTTCTTCTTCCTTTTTGCTTTTCAATGAGATAAAGCAAAGTTTAGAGAATTAACATTTACCATGGGTATTGACCTTATCTGCAAAGGAACTTAAAAAGCCATCTGTCTTCTTTCATCTTTGATGGCCTACTTACAAAATCTCAAGCTATTTAAGAATTTAATTTGAATTTATTTGTTTTTTATTTATTGTTTTTCTACTAGTGGAGCTATGGTTCTATGGCAATTTTAGGGGATGGGACCCAGCCAGGCTGGACCCCCACTCCTTAAATTTTTCAAAATTATTATTTTTTTTTTAAATGGAGAGAAAAAAAATATATTCAATTTTTAAGTTTGAGAATGCCATTTCATCTATCTACAGGTGCCATAATCATAAATTTTCTTACCTTACCCCCAACCATGTTGGGGCTCAGGTACTACAGACCCTCCATCGGTGAAAGTTCCTCCCTGGCCCCACCCCCCCCTCTTTCATATTCCTAGATCTACCACTATAGTTGGTGGTTAAGATGCTTTCCTTCCAATTGGATAGTCCTATGTTCAAATCCAGTGGATGACCTTGGGATCGGGTGGGGTTTTTTACGTCTACAACTCCACTCCCTAATGAGTAATTGTTACATGAATGTGTGAGAGTTTAGTACTTTAAAATTATTGACTGCCAAATGAAACTTCATTTTAATTGTATTATTTGTTCTGTTTTTATATACATAATTTCTTGACCATAGTTGCCAATTTGTACTTATTATTTGGAATTTTATTTGTAAAAAGCTGATTAAAGTAATAAAAAATACTTCCGAGATATAGAAGACATAACTACCATATTGTTGGTGGTATGTCAACAGCTATTAGGCCAAATAAAAAAAAAATTAATAGTTTCTCATCCCCTCACGCATTCATCCCCTGCCACACCAAATTTTCTTTATTTTATGAAATGTACGAAAATCTCTCATCAGTAAAATTCCTATCTCGTTCATTCATGGTTGGGGATACATATCGGTGTGTCTAGTGCTTCTTTTAATTGCTTTCAATGTGTCTACTTTGTAAAAGTGAGAAAGTAATAGCTGTTTCCCATCGACCGTCTTGGATTTGCCATCTCAGAGTTAAAAAAAAGAAAGAAAAGAAATTGCCTTCATTCTCCTTTTTTCAAAATATTAGGATGAAACTACTGTTTTTTACATGGCCTTAATAGCTTCTTTCTCTTTTAATAACACTTATCTTTAACCTCCTGACTCATACTGTATATATTTACATCCAAACATCATGACTGTTCCTCTTCCGATGTTTAGTTATTGTTCTATGTAGACATTATTGACTCAGCATTTATTTACAATATCATCCAGTTAAAAGCAATGCAAACCAAGTTAGTTATCCAGGTTATCCCAGGTTAATTAATCCTGTACATACAGTTGTTTGCATGATTGGGCCTTGTTTGAGATGATTTTCCCTTTTTTTTTTATTTAATGGTGTTCTATCACTTAGTGCTAAAACATACGATAATTATAGAATTGTAAAGTGAAAATTTGTTTAAGTTGACATTACTGTTATTTGGAAACCACCTGTTTCATACATGGGTTAAAGTCCATCTGTATTTACATTTTTGAAAAGGGAAGTTGTCATCTGTTGTCTATATTAGTGTCATCTTAAAAACGTGAGGTGATTAGCTCAGTCACATTGACAACTCGCTTGACCTTTTATATGATTTTGAACTACAGTAGAACCCCTCCTTTGGGACACCTCTATTAAGGGGACATCCTATCAAGGAGTCACTAATATTTTCGGGAACTAAACAAGAAAAAGTATATCTTTTAACATTACAGCCAACCTCTATTTAGGGGAAATCCCTATAAAAGGGACACTTTTTTAAAGATTTGGACCTGAAAGTGTCACCTTCATTCAGTGGCGTATCTAGAGGTTTTTTGGGGGTTGTTGGTGGGGGGGTGCGAAGGTGAACTGGGAGGGCTCGATCAGTCGAGGGGCACTAACTCGCAAAAAAAAGTGATTTTAGGTGATTTTTAACTACTTGACCATGATTTTTTTTGGGGGAGGCCACTGGGGGCATGAGTAATTTTTGAAGGGGCATGCCCCCACCCCCAGGTACGCCACTGCCTTCATTATGGGCTTTCTACTATATAAAAGTAATGCAAAAAATATTTTTGTTCTGTTATGATTGATTGATTGATTAATTGATTTTTTTGATTCATAAATTTAATATAATATATTTTTGTTTTTCAGATATTCCATTCTCTACAAAGCAACCAGTGACTCAAGGTGAGATATTTTACAAGCCACAAAATTATTATAGAAAGATAGATAAATTATATCATTGTTAAGAATTGTTAGAAGAACAGGCTGTAAATTTGTGTAGTCATATGATACTGTGCAACTGAAATTTACGCCAAAATCGGTAAACTTTTAAATGTAAAATATATACTATAAAGTAAAATTAATACAACAAAAATAAATTCGTTTTCAGACAAACATGTGTAGGCCTATTATTACAACTTAAAAGAAATATTGCAGAATTTATCAAGATTCATGAATACTACATTTTGCTTGAATATTCTTAAACAGTAATAAGTCTAAAATTCATCAAAATAAAACATAAAGCACTGTATTATTTTCGAAGGCAACAACAGTGGTCCATTAATTGTTGGCAAGTAACAATATTAAAAAATGTAAAACAGAGTTGCTTGTGTGAATTTACGATATCTGATTTGATAAACAATGATTTTCTAACTAGATTGTCGCATTTACCTAAGGGGTTATATCGGAGGCTACTTAGATCTAGGCTAGCCACCTCACCTAAACTCTTTATTTTCCAACAACAGTACTGTGTTTTGCTTTACAACCATTTTGTAATGCAATCAAATGCTATTGTTTAGTATACTATTGAATAGGTTGAACTTTCCATGGTTTAAAGCCTCATCCTTATCGCGGATAACCATCAAAGCTAAGGCCAAATAAAAAAATTTACTAGTTTCTCGCATCCATTTTATCTGCCACACCAATTTTTATTAAAATTTTTTTATTTCCTTTATTTTTATAAGTGTACGAAAATCTGGCTAACTCGCATCAGTAAAAATTAAATTCCTCCCTCCATCATTCGTGGTTGAGGATGGTACAAATCATGTCAAGTGTTTCTTTTATTTGCTTTCAATGGGTCTACTTGGTAAAAGTGAAGAAATTAGTAGCCTGTTTCCCATTGAACATCTTGGATTTGCATGTCGTAGAAAAAAAAAGAAAAAAAGTGCCCTTATTCTCCTTTTTTTCAAAATATTTGGACTAGAAACTACTTTTTTTTTTATTTGGCCTAAATTCCCAATCCCCTTTCATTGCAATACACTAATTCATACTAAACATAACCGCTAAATACTGGTTGGGTTTTTATATTGGTGGGGTACAATTAGTTTGTTCCAAAGGTGCTTCTTTATCAAAGGGGATGATCACATATAAATAGCCACCCTTTCACCATGCTACCCAAATTTATAGTGTATTGATGAACAGATCCAGTGTATCCATTGTTAATATATTTTCTAAACTTCAAGTGTACTACCGGTTAAAAGTGCAAAAAAAAAATGCAGTGCATTTTCTTTTACTTTGATTTCATGGCAGGCTAATATTTTGTCATTCTAAAAGTCAAAAATATTACTTTTTAATGTAGGAGGCCAAATAATATTAACTGCTACTTTCATGTTCCCGCCATCATCAAATATTGCAGCCTCAAAAAAATTTACTATTTGCTATTTAAGAAAGAAAAAACCAATAATTTTTTTAATGGAAAATAAAAATAATGACAGTCTAAAAGATTGTTGTAAAAAGCCTAAGAAGAGGGTGGAAATAAATAGCAGAATACATTAAATGATTCATTTTACTTCTTTTATAAATAAAAATTGTATTATTTACCAGCCACATAGGATGGTAGAGAGCAAATAAATTGAAAAACGAGTGTGTATTATTCTCTTCATAATTATTCGTAAACATTTACTTTACCTCGCTAATTTTATGCATGGGAATAGCACACCCCTCCCCCTCCCCCAAAAAAAAAAGAAAAAAAAAGTGAGATTCTCTATTTCTACTGTACATTTAGCAGTAGCTGCCTGACCAAGCATGCACAGCTCTATAATGCAATATATCCCGGCTGAAAACAATTGAGATTTTTCGCTTTATATCAAGTTTTATGTATTGGTTTAAACATTTTCGTTTTTGGCTGATGTACTGAACAATTTTAATTATATTTGAAGATTTTTAAATGCAATTTTAAGTGGTTAAAGCTTAAAAAGATTATGACATCATCCCCGGTTTGGTAACTTGGTATTTGAACAGAGAAATATGCCTACACCTTGTATATTCTTCAGATTGTGAAAGGCACCAATAATAAATTGAATATTCATCAAGCACTCTTACTCACATGATCTCACAGCGCTAATAGAGACTCGATAATTGAAAAATTTGAGTTTTGAGAGCAGTTTTGAACTGTTTCAAGGTTGGAGAATGACGAACTTCATGAGGTAGTTTATTCCATAGGGATGGTGCAGCGGCATAGAAAGCCTTGTGAGAAGTGGAATTGGCCTGATTTGTCTTTGGCATTTTGAGTATAAATTGATCGGAAGAACAAAGACGATGACTAGGCTGATAAATAGAAATAAAGTCTCAAACATAAGACGGAGCTAAGGCATATAGTAGACATTTAAAGAATGAGAAGAACTTTGAATTTGGCACGGTCAGAACGGGAAGCCAACAGAGTTGTTGGAATAAAGGTGTATGAATTTGTGATTCTCAAAATAAAAAAGGTCACTGCATGTAGCAACTATATATATATATATATCACCCTCACCCACATGTCTTAATGTATTTGAAAAAAGAAATAATAATAATAATTAATAATAGATATTGTTTGTATAATCTCAATCATGTATTTTGCTTTGAATATCAATGCACCAGCAAACAACCCCAAGATTTGGCTTTATAAAAATATAAAATAAAAATCCCCCTTCCTCATCACTTTTCCAGCCTTGATAGGGTGATAAACTAAATCATTATTTTTATTGGGCCTTATGATTACCTCTATTTACAATATCCAGTGCAGGATTAACATGAATGATTAGCTATTTACAATTAACATATTTGCCGCATTCTGAAATGCATTCATACGATTATTAACATTACTTACAAAGAAACTATCTATTTACCAGGAATTTGGACACATTTTAGTGTGTCATTGAGGGTGAATTGTGCAGATATTTTCATAGGGTGCTTAAGGAAGTAACTAATACACTAGGATTTATTGTATTATAGGCTCTATGGATCCAACTGTGATAATAGAAATGATACTCATCTTAGCTAATATTTTGACCTTCCATTGGAAAGGTCGTTTACAGGGTGCCCTCTTGTAAATATGATTAGTTCACAGAATGTTGAAAGTTTAGTACAGATGCTTTTAGTTCTAATTCAGTGCTCATAGGTTATTTGGCGCTACAAGTCTGATGTCATGTGGAATGCCATATGCCTGACTTTGAGGGTTACTTGGAGTTAACTTCTAGAATGAAACTGATATTATATTAGATAATTAAACATGTTTGTATTAAGTCTGTTAATTTATTTAATCTTAATTATTCAATTAAATTATTTGTATACTTTAAAAAAATTACAATATATACGAATTGTTATAAATGAATTTGCTATCGTTTTGTAATTTTATTTGTAATGTATATAGCAGAAACTTAATTTTTTAAAATCTATATTTGCACTAAAATTCTAACCTTTGATTTGTGAAATGTTTTATGAAACAGGATTGTTGTTCTTTCATACCCAATGCTATTGCTTTATCTACCAGTACTGTCTCTTATACACATCTAGATGTGTATAAGAGACAGATTTACAATTAACATATTTGCAGCATTCTGAAATGCATTCATACGATTATTAACATTACTTACAAAGAAACTATCTATTTACCAGTAATTTGGACACAATTTAGTGTGTCATTGAGGGTGAATTGTGCAGATATTTTCATAGGGTGCTTAAGGAAGTAACTAATACACTAGGATTTAGTGTATTATAGGCTCTATGGATCCAACTGTGATAATAGAAATGATACTCATCTTAGCTAATATTTTGACCTTCCATTGGAAAGGTCGTTTACAGGGTGCCCTCTTGTAAATATGATTAGTTCACAGAATGTTGAAAGTTTAGTACAGATGCTTTTAGTTCTAATTCAGTGCTCATAGGTTATTTGGCGCTACAAGTCTGATGTCATGTGGAATGCCATATGCCTGACTTTGAGGGTTACTTGGAGTTAACTTCTAGAATGAAACTGATATTATATTAGATAATTAAACATGTTTGTATTAAGTCTGTTAATTTATTTAATCTTAATTATTCAATTAAATTATTTGTATACTTTAAAAAAATTACAATATATACGAATTGTTATAAATGAATTTGCTATCGTTTTGTAATTTTATTTGTAATGTATATAGCAGAAACTTAATTTTTTAAAATCTATATTTGCACTAAAATTCTAACCTTTGATTTGTGAAATGTTTTATGAAACAGGATTGTTGTTCTTTCATACCCAATGCTATTGCTTTATCTACCAGTATTTCTGTACACGCCTGGTGTGGCTATCCCATGCCTGAGCATGGAGTCGTCAAAACCTGCTATTATTGCTCTGAATACTCCGATGCCCCCTAACTAATTTCGGGTAAAAAAAATTTGAAAGATATTAATATAGGAATTGAACCCACTACTCCAGATTTTCTAGCTTGGTATCGTAATAATATCCAGTGATTAACATTCAATGTAATCCTTACATACAAAAGCATCTAGTACTGAAATGACATTGCATCAGTAATTTTATGCAAAAGTATTTGGGGATGTATAGGTTTAATTATTTTCATATTGATGTCATGGGTACAGCAAACATTCCTATTATTTTTTTTTTGTAATTTCATATTATTATACATATTAATTAATAATGTATTTAATGCATTCTTTTGAGTAATACAGTAATCACCATTTAATAGTGTATTATGAAATACTACACTTATTTCTGAATTTTATATTTTATTGTTATGACAGCAATAATGTTAATAATGTTCCTTTTAAACATGATATGCAGTTTTTATTACACATGCTGACACAGTAAAGTAAACATTTAAAGCATTTATTACAATGTCAACAGCAATTAACTTCAATGCTAACAAACTTTATTCATCAAGAACAAACTACTCTCTTAAATCTATGAAATCAATCCTTTGCAGCAAGTTAAATGTTAGTTTGCATATAGATTACCTTGAGGTTTATAATAGCATTCGCAATTCTTAAAAGTGAATTTTCAATTTGACAGATTTAGAAAGCCTTCTGACCTTGAAAGCCTGAATCTCAGTTCTGACTTTATACCACATGCAAATATACGGCTAAGCTGCAACTAGTCTATAAATTGTTTAGAGGCTTGATAAATAATTACTAAGAGCTTTATACATACTAATCAGGTGATCATTAGCTTGTGAAGAATCCTGATTCTGAATTATTAGCCCTGTGACTCCCAAGCAATTCTGACTGACTAGATAATTCTGACCTTGTTTTATATACCATTAGCCTAGTCTGACATGTCCCACGGAGTCTTGATCCTAAAGCTCTATGTCCATACTGTTAAAATTTAATGTGACAAATGTGTGTGATATGCCCAAATATGGGCATGATGATGTCATATATTACACCCAAATATGGGCATGATGATGTCATATATTACACCCAAATATAGAAATATCATTTATTTGTCACATAAAATTTGATGGTGTGGACACAGCTTAAGTTTAAGTCCTATTTAGACTGTAAAATTTTATTTACAAAACATGAGACATATGCCTAAATAAGGCATGATGACATCACATGATGACCATAGGTGCATCATGACTACATATGGGCATACTGTACAACAGATTTTTGTCAATGAAAATGTGATAGTCGGGATAGATCATCTTTACTTGTTTGTTGTTTACTGTGATCTCTAGATTGTAAATATCGCTTTTAATCACCGATACCTTGTGAAATTCTGATCATCCCTATCTTGTGATTTGACTTCAGAAATGGTTTGGCAAGGTAAATACACCAAGATCTGATCTGTGAAATTCCACTGTTTACAGTAACCCTAGGCCTATATAGGTTATATTTTCCTACTGTAGAAAGGAGATAGTATCAGCACAGTTAACCAATTAATTTCAGAGGTACCAAATTTGGGAGATTCCATATCCGGGAGTTCTTTTTAAATGAGCTTCTGTTATTAACTTACTGGTAAACATCATTATTGTCTTTTACTCGGCGTTTTGATACCCATTGGCACTGAATTCTGGGAGATGATTGATAATCAGTATGAAAACTGGTAACATGCAAATATCTTGAATTTGCAGGAGATGTGTTATATTCCAGGAGATTTTTGCTTGTTCTCTGGAGTGTGGTGGCCTTCATGATTTCTGGGTGACTTGGGATCCCCTCAAAAACTCCATAACTGTTGCTAAACCTTGTTTAGTATTAGACCAACTAAATTAAGGACTACATGGCCAGACTCTCTCTACTGCCCTCACTTTTTTCCAGATGTTTTTGCATTATAGCTGTTAAGATTCTCCATGTTTCTCATGGCACTCAAACTCTTTTAGGTTTTCCTGATTCTTCTGCAAACTGTTATTCCTTTAAAGCTCTCCATTCAATAAATTTCACCAAATATTCTTTCACTGGAGAAGAGATTACAGTTGCTCTGATTTTAATAATGTATATCTACCCAGCTAACAATATTACGTTATAAGAACGTTATAATAACGTTACAGTTTGGTGATAAGATAATTTTGTAGAACCATATGTACGTACTTACAACCTAATTTCACAATGTTTGAAAGTTCTTACAACGTTGTGTGAACGTTATTTTGACATACCTAACCAAAACGTTCGCGAATGTTATAGGATGCTTTGTGTTTGCTGGGTACCATGTTGGTACTGTGTGTCACAACCACCTTTATTCAGTTATATAGTTTTTCTGCTTAACTGTATTATTCTATTATAATACTTTAAAATTTGTTATTTTCTTAAAAAATAAGAAGTTTAATGCTCCTCTTAATCAAAGTTTTGAGATTTTTTGAAATTTACAATCAGGAATTTTAACAGTTAATACAATTAGTATAAAAGAATTTATCATTTTAAAAATAAACAAATATTTTTCGGAAAAAAGTAGAGATAGCAAATCAGTAACTTGAAAAAAAATATTTTGCTATTTGAGCTTTGAAAGAATATATATACTGTCTCTT